TCCAAATACTTCATGCCCATGATGGCCTCATAGGTCAGTTCCTTGCCCTCTAGGTCTTGGTCCACTTGTTGTACCTCCTCGTATAGCTTCTGCTGCACATCCTGGTTCTCCATTAGCTCTTGAGCGGTGAAGCACATCAGCACCGCCGAAGTTTCAAAGCCAGCAAAGAAGAACACGAAACACTGGGCCACAATGTCGCGATCGCTCCACTCGCGAACGGCAGATGCCTTGGTCTTCTCCGTCTGGATTATGCCACGAGCCTCCATCAGCATGTTTATCATGTCGGGTCGTATAATATTGTGCTCCTGTCGGTACTTCATGGCATCGAGCACCAGACGCACGAAATACTGAGTGCTTTTCTTATCGAAAAGCTCGACCTTAAGGATCTACGTGGAAAATTAACATTATTGTTTAATCAATATATTCTTCTAATATATATGTGAATGCTTTGCCAACCTTATTAAGACTCTTCAACGCAAAGAACAACATGAACTTCATGTTCTGCAAGAATGTAAATGTGGTCAGCTTTTTGCCCATCTGATAGAATGTATTTTCCCGATCCTTGAACGAGTTCACTTGAAGTCCGAAGGCTGTCGAGGCGATCACATCATTAGTGAACCGTGTGCAGTAGTCCTTCATGTCCAGATCATTATCCTGAACGGTTGAATCATCCTGCTTAAGGCAGTCCACGGCCTCCTTGGCCACCTGGTTCATCAGCTGGAACATCTGACGCATTTTGCTGCCTGTAAATGCCGGGCTCAGAGTGCTTCGCATATCCTTCCACCGAGCATCTCGCATGGAGAACAAGGAGCTGCCAAAAAGGTTACTCATGTCATGTGGATCATCATCGCTGCTGGTGGCAAACACATTGCGATGATTGATAAAATGGTCGAAGTCCTTTATTGTTATCTGCTTGATAAGATCCGGGTCGCGCACCATAAGAAGTGGTTGTCGCTGCTCGAAGATACCAAAAAATCTAAAAAAAAATAAAAGTCATGTTAATAACCGATAAGCTCTCTGTGAGTCACTTACTATTAAATCAAATCAAAAAAAATTTTATTTGAGCGCTCCACAAGATAAGAAAATGATAACATGAATTATTTTTTTATGGATGGCTAGCCTCGTTCATTACCTATCCGACGAATTTTTAATTAACCCATCTCTATTTAATTTATGAACAAACTATAATTGTATAGTGGGGGATTATCGAGTTTGGCTATAAAAAAATTATATGTACATGGGTTTTCAACTTTAAATGCTAATATGAAATTATTTAATAATTTAGATCTACCGTGTATATGTGTATAAAAGGAACAGTCATAAAAAGGGTTGCCCCAATATGAAATGAATAAATAATTTAGATAACGTTATCGTCATTGCACTTTGCAGGAGCTTTATCTACTATTTTTCCTATCTAAATATGGACACAGTGCTGTCCGAGACAAACAACATTTAAAGCCGTCGTATAATCGATAAGATTATAGCAAACTTAACTGATAGAACCAACAAAGCATTTCGCCAATTATCTTGCCAGTTACACACTTCATTAGATAAACGCATTTACACAATTTAATCGAGTTTACGGAATTCTATATTCAAAACGTAATCAAAGTCAGCCGCACCCACCAAATGTACGTATAGATACGTGTAGATCAATTATTGGCTGACCTTGACAGTCTATATAAACTTGTACGCAATGCTGGAGACCAATAGATACACACAGATAAACGAGTTCCAAGTGCAAGTGCAAGTGCGCCGGTTACTTATTAGGTAATTAACTTATTAGATTCGGATCAATAAATTCAACTCACTTGCTACTTCCGCCTTTGGTGTAGAGATCACAGACAATGTCAAACATGGCTTTCTTCCGCAGGAACATACCGGCCATGTTGCCAAAGTAGAGAACAGGCTTTTCATAGGGGATGCCCCGGTCCTTGAAGAAATCATTGTTGGCGGACGCCCAGCGATAGAACAAGGCGGCAGCGATCGCAAGTAGGGCTAAGAATTCCCACAACATGTTCAGTGAGCGCCTGGTTTGGCAATCCAAGCGTCCAGAATATAACTAACGACGCCACAAACAATCGGGAGCGTTTTGTTGTCCCCACGTAGAGCTTTCTATCAAAGCTTCGTGCTCTGCTTCTGCCATTTGATAAAATACTTGTTGTCTATAATACACACATGTGTTAGGTTTAATAAAGCATGTATTTCTGAGCGAAAACAATTTAGAATACGACTCATCATTTCATCATGACGGCATATAGGGGATAAGGCTGTCGACTCTGAGTATCGAGAGAGTTTTGCAGCCAGCTTACATTCAAGTGCCGGCAGCTCCGACGATATAGCCTTCTAAAAAAAAAAAAGGAATCTTGTGAATTAATTTTATTTTTAGATTAAGTGATTAGCTACGCGTTACCTAAGCTTCTCCATGTCCGATGCCTCGTTCGTATTATAAAAAACCAGATTTGCTTTTCGTGGTTCCGTTGTACAGCTTCCTCCATGCTGCGAAAACTGCTGCATCAGTTTGCTGGAATCCTTCTCCATGGCAAAGTAAGCCACCAATCCTTCGAATAACTTGCCTTTTGAGCTTGTGGGTTCAGTAGCGTTTTCCGTCTGCTTTGGTTCCTTTTTCACAACTGATTTAAGCTCCTTGCTGGGCTTGAAAAAATCCTTTAATCCCTTTTGCGATGGCGACAAGCTCCGTATCGCTTTTGCCTCCTTGTGTTTGCTGAGCGCAGGAGCCTCGTCTTCATCATCTGTACTTGTTTTGCGCCTTTTAAGTTTCTTAGTACTACTTGAACGATTGCCATTTAGTTTCTTCTCTTTTTGGGGGGATGTTTTAATATCAATAGCTTTCTCATCCTTGCTACAATTAGCCAGAAGCAAATCAACATTTACATTCGTTTTTGAGGCTTCAAAAATATCTTCTAAGTGGGCCAGATCATTGGCCTCTTTGGCCGATTTATCACTACGACGACGAGTTATCCTGGGAAATCGTATGGAGATTCCAGACGCGGTATGCGCATCGGACTTGGTGAACTCTGCGCCAGTGATCTCCCATACTGGCATTTTCAGCGGATCCTTGGCCAGTACATCTGGCACCAGGGACTTACTGCACAATAGCCAGCTGGGTATTGCGTTGGCATCAGCACGTTCGGTTAGCTTGATCAGTGATTCATGTACCTCTGCGTTGGTAGCATCATCCAAGCCAGAGTGCACTTTGGTCACTGTCTTCCACAAACGCCCAAACGCATCGTAGCAGCCCATAAGAAAAATGCTAAGCGTGCCACCTTTCTTGCCTGATCCATACCAAGCTCCCAGAACTACCAAGTCCGCTGTATCAGCCATCTTTCCATCGAAAAGGTAATCCTTCTTGACCTTAAGCCAGTTTCTCTTGCCGGGCTGGTATGTGCTGGTTGGACTTTTTAGGACCACTCCCTCCAGATTGGCATGTAACACCCTTGCTGTCATCACGGCCAGTTCCTTTGTGGTCTTGAGGAACTCTGACTCCGACAGCTGCACGTGGGATTTAATGGGTTGAATATTCTGCTCAAGGATCTCACGACGCTTTCGGAATGGCCTGGAAGATGAAGAACATATCTTTGAAACTACATATATGACTTTAAAACAATATTTTCAAAATAATATTATTCCCAACCTCACTTACAACTGGGTCAAATCCTCGCCATCGTACAGTATGCAATCAAACACAAATAAGCATACTGCTGCATTGGCAAAAGTCTGCTTCTTATGGGCACCCAACGAACCAAAGGGCAGCAGTGCTCCTGTGTCAGTGTCGACCAGAATGATCTCAGAGTCCAATATCATTTCACCACCGCCAGGAAAGGCTTGGGGTATATACTCCTTAAGAGCCCGTATCTTGTGATCCACCACAGGCTTTAGGTTGCGGCTAAAGAACTTGAATTCGTTGCCCTGCTTGTGGATTTGAACGCGCTCTCCATCATATTTGATCTCGCTATACAATCCAGTGGGGCTCTTCTTGAAGGCCTCCTCCACAGACTTGCAGGGACTGGCCAACATGGGCGATATTGGCGTCATTACCTGAATAGCACTCGAGTTCGTTTTGTTAGCTTTCTTGATCGGACTATGGGCATCCTTTTTATTATCCTTGCCGGCAAACTGTCCCACAATCGCCACCAAATCGCGGGAGGACTGATATGCGGGGTAGGCTTCAGAACCAAAAGCATCCAGGATGTGCCGGGCCCGCGCATTAATTCTCAAGTCGTGCTTCACCAAGCGAATAAAGGTGCGCAGATCCAGGTCAGTGGCCTTCGAGCACAACTCGTGCAGCAGTTCTGTTTGCTCATCCTCTTTGGTACGCTCCACCAGCTTCAGGAGCAGCTGCTCCACCTCCTGCAAATAGAGCTTGCTCTGCACTTGTGGCTTGAGTTTCCTAGATGCAGCAAAGTGCTTGCGCAGCGTTTCCGAAACGTCTCCATCTGCGGGAAACGATACAATTTAGGGCGATGATGAATTGGTAATCAAGTGAACATTGTTATATTGGGTACAATAGTTCCTCAGTATTTGGTGAATATACTAGAAAAGGTTTAGAGTAGTAGCCGGAAAGTGTATGAAGGATTACAACTTGCCCTGCTCTAGATCCAGATGCATTTGCTGCTGGTTAGCATTAAGAATGCGCGAAAAGAGTTTGATCAACGCCTTGTTCTGCAGATTATAGACCCGCTGGTTGGCCTCCGGGATGAGGAACTGCACCCAGAGCAGGGTGTCGCCCTTGAAACCTTTGCCGCTGCTTCCCTTTTCAAAGAATCGCTGCAATTTCTCCGCCTTCTTCAGGTAACTTGACTCGCCGGCTATCTCGTCACAGATGCGACGGAAGGTGTCAAACTTGTTGTCCTCATTGCGCAATCCTTTGCTGGCCATCTTATTACACGCAAGACGCGTTAGAAACCTGGTCTGCCACGTTAGCCTGGGTAAAAGCATACGCACACTAACAATTCTAAATGGATTTGTCTATTTCACAGAACAATGCAAACAGACGTTCGACTCACGAGTAAATAAATCGGGAATATTTGACTCCAATCAGCTGTTGTTGGCGAAGCACGCGCTCGGCGGCGTTGTAATTGGCGGCTCGAGAGTCCTACAGTGCCGTTACGAGTTTGAAGCCCAGGCGCCAGAACGAGTGCAGATACGATTCCATGACTTCAACGTGCCCACGGAGCACGAGAATTCCACGAGATGCCAGCCGGGCGATGCGCTCCACGTGGTCAGCGAAGTGCGCGGACGGTACGAGACGCAGGAACTCCTCTGTGGTGCCTTCTTGCCCAAGCCACTGATGTCCAGTGGACCCCAGCTGCACCTCCAGTTTGTCGGAAAATATCCGCCTACTATGACGAACAAGGTTCAATACTATGGATTTCGCGCTGAGTACCGCTTTTTAACCAGTAAGTTTATCCATTGAGTCTTAGTCCCCTGTAGACCGATTGCACTCTCAAATATTTATAATTTATATAATATTTATCTAATTATTCGATTTAAAAATCCGGTAATATTTTTTTCAAGATTTTGGAATCATGTCCGGAACTCAAAAGGAAGGGTGCTCCTTTGTGTACAATAGCAGTGAGCGCATAAGTGGCTTGTTTCACTCTCCAAATTTTCCTGGATATTACCTGGAAAATGTGGTGTGCAATTATTATTTCTACGGAGCAAGTGACGAAAGAGTTGTGCTCCACTTCACATATTTCGATGTTGAAGGCATTGGAACGTAAGATCTTATTCTAAGCTATCTCTTAAAAAGGTTTAATCTCGTTTTCTGACCAGTTGTGACCACCAAACCGCCAGCGATTACATAGAGTTCTCCAATTTCATGAGCACGGATCGAAAGTTCAGCAGATACTGTGGAAAGCTTCCCGACTTTGAAATGCGTTCGGATGGACGCTTCTTTCGCGTCACCTTGCATTCAAATGATCGCTTTGTGGCCATCGGATTTCGCGCCCTGTACACCTTTGAAACCATTCCCATGAATAATTCTATCGCCGATCTGCGAGATACCGCCTCCATGCAGAGCTTCGTCTCAACAGCTTCAGTTAGTAAAATTGTAAATTTAGGCAGCTTAATGATTTGTATCCTATGCACTTATAAACCATACCAATATTATGTTTAAAATTTAGAGACATAACATTTCGCAAGTTTATTTTCTATTCCGGTGACATACTTTTTGCATATTCATTAGGTCCAAATATTTAAACCTGCGCAAAAAATATCGATCACAAAAAAAGTTTTCGATTTTCAAGTTGGCTATCGCAAAACGAGTTTTTGCGTAGTATTTCAAGAACTAAAAATTTTAGTTGATGAAAGAATTACATATATGATAATATCGATACACATATTTTAATTTCCCGGAGTTTCTATTAAACATATTTTAGCACAACTTTATTGGCAGAGTTAACGTGTAAACTAACCACTTGTTGTTATCTGCAATCGATCTTCTCATGCTCGGTTCAGTTTTGTGGAGTCACGACGCTGCTATCTTATAAATACAGCTGTTATAAGGTGCGATAAACATTATTAACATTTCGCTAGTCGCCCTGAGTAGACGAGTTACCAGTGCGGTACTGATAAGACATTTCTAGTCAACTCATTTTAATCGCATATCTGTGAACTCTGGAATGGCGGCCAAGAAACTGGACGCCATAATCTTCGGTGCCTCCGGGTTTACTGGAAAGTACACCGTCTTCGAGGCTGTCAGCGTGCTGAAGGGCCTGCAATGGGGCATCGCCGGTCGCAACCAGGAGAAACTACAGTCGGTGCTTCGGGAGATGGGTGCAAAGTCCAAGACAGACCTCTCCCAAACACCCATCGTCATCGCTGACGTCAACAACGAGGCGTCTCTGCTGGAGATGGCCAAACGCTGCCGTATTGTGGTCAACACGGCGGGCCCATATCGGTTCTTCGGCGAGAGAGTGGTCAAGGCTTGCATCGAGGCGGGAACACATCACGTAGACGTAAGCGGAGAGCCACAATACATGGAAACCATGCAATTGCGCTACCACGATCTTGCCAAGAAGCGTGGCGTGTACGTGATCAGTGCGTGCGGCTTTGATTCCATTCCCGCCGACATGGGAGTCAACTTCGTGGAGAAGAACTTCGACGGAGTGGTCAACTCGGTGGAGAACTTTGTCCACATGGGCGTCAAGGGCGGTACCAAGGGAACGGGCAGTGCTGCCCTGAACACCGGCACCTGGGAGAGCGCCATTCACGCTATCGCCAACCGGAGCGAGTCAGTGGCTATCCGCCGAAAGTTGTTCCCCGAACGCCTGCCCAAGTTCCAGCCGGACCTTAAGTCAAGACGGCCGCTTTCCCGTGCCGCGGAGGTGGACGACAAGGTGATCCTGCCGTTCCCTGAAACAGATCGCTCGGTGGTGATGCGCTCGCAGCGTTTCCTTTACGAACTGGAGAAGAAGCGACCCGTTCAGATGCAGGCCTACATGACCTATCCCTCGTGGTTCGCGGCCAGCGTTGTCGTACTCTTCGCCTCCATCATTGGCATTATGGCCAAGTTCTCCTTTGGCCGTCAGCTGCTGCTGAAGTACCCCAGCGTCTTCTCCGGCGGCATGGCTTCCCGCGAGGGTCCCAGTGAGGCCAGGATGGAGCGTACCTTCTTCAGGATGACCATGAAGGCCACCGGCTGGCCCAAATCCGAGAAACTAGCCGAGAGCACAGATCAGTACACCTCTCCACCCACAAAAACGTTGACCGTGAGGATTGAGGGGCCCAATCCCGGCTATGGATCCACCTGCGTCGCACTGCTCTCCACGGCGAAAACCATCCTCAGCGAAAGCGACAAGATGCCCGGATCCGGTGGAGTCCTGCCACCCGGAGCGGCCTTCCGAGGTACCAGTCTCATCAACGAGCTGGAGAAGCATGAGCACGGCATCAAGTTCGAGATCGTGGCCAACAAATAGAGTCTAAATTGGGATGTATTTGATGTTATTGAAAATATACGTTAAATATATTTATCTCATCTGTGCTTATATGAAAAAGAGATACCATAAAATACCTGTCGATTAATTAGTTAGAGTATCTCGTTTACAAATAGGTATTATTTATTATTGCATATTTTTACTACTATTATTACTAGTAACGAATTCAGTTCCACTCTATTTAAAATTAGTGCTTCAGCTGGTTCCAGCTGAGGTTTTCGCAGCACGGTCACACCGAAAGCATTTTGTATCGATTGGTGTGGCTATCGCTATCGCTGTTTGGCTACCTTCGTTGTTTACCTTTTGGTCATTACCAATTTAGACGGCAACGCGAAAATACACAAATGATGAGTGCTGAAATATCCGGCTTCCGGCGGTTCCTGCACTGGGGCCCAATTGCCGCCCTTAGTAAGTGTTGGCCGAACTGGTGATAAGAAGAGCTTTTCTGCGGATCCGTGGGATGGATACAATTTGCAAATATGTACACTGGTGAAAGTGGAGTCAAAGAACTGCTCGTTATATGGGATCCAATTACGTGGGCGGCACTTGCCGGACACGCCCCTCACCGTGCTATGGCTGCGCCATATCGCGTTTCATATGCCACCCAGACACCCACACCAAACGGAGAGTTCCAATCGGTTGTCCACCCACCAGGGACTTTTAATTTGCTTAATGTGCCGTGCTAATTGCGTTTTAGTTGTGTGTCGTTTGCCCTTTTATTGCCCGGGTAACCCTAGTCCTTGGAGCCTATCGAGAATTTCACGGAGCCATCAAACATGGCGTGCAAATCGCCTGTTTGACTGTCGACGGGTCAGACGGCATAAGACTTCCGGACCACCACGATATCGAACTGATATACAATTGTTCTCGGCATAATGGCTTTATTAGGCGCCGGTCGCTTGTTGCTGCTCCCCAAAAAGGACTCGGAATCAGTCAGAGAAACGAAGAAATTACTCATTACTGGACCGTGGTGCCGGCTAATCAACTCGAAAAGCGACAATAAACTAAATAAATGACCCTTATTTCCTCCGCACGCAATTGCCAAGCGAAGCATGGCCACCAAAGTCACCCCATCCAAACAAAAACAGGGCTAGGTCCCTCCAACTACGTGTATTAAATTTTTGTGCATGAATCAGACGAATGTTTATCTACCGCTTTCCTTACAGGCATCATCAAATGCATAACGCTGACGACGCTCTACATGAACTCGATGTGGTGGCCGCCAAATGAATCCTTTGCTGGATTCGCCCACCAGGCCCTTTTCCTGCTCCTTTCCACGCTGGCCACATTCAATTACGTCATGGCCACGTTGACAGGACCCGGACTGATGCCAAAACGGTGGCATCCCAAGGTAACCGGAGAACCAGAACCCACGGAAAACGGAATGGTGGAGAAACATTTGTTATGACACGATGACTTGTCGACCGCCACCACCTATGTAGTTCGAGACACCTGTTACCATTGATAGTGCCCAACAGTTGGGCCGAAAAACTGTTGACCCGTCACGAACTGCCAAAGTACTTAGTCCGGGGGTGGTTTCTCCGTCCCGTTGTGCATCGTCATTCCAAGGCGGAAACAATTGTTTAGCGTCCGAAGAGTAGGTGCCGAGTTTTCTCTAGGCGCTCGGTCTCAACGGGGTCTTCATGTCCGATTTCCAGGCCAGACAAATGGGCCAACCCGGCCCATTGGCGTTTGTGACTGCTTATCGCATAATCCGCGCCAATTAAACGCTGCAATTTATTTTAAAGAATCCGGTCCCAACGGACTATCCATAGTGTCGTGCAAGGGCCACCGCCGGCTGGTAACGTTTTTCGACTGCCATTCATTTTGTCGGCCAGTGGCGCGACCCAAATATAATTTATTAGCGGCGACTCCTCATATTACGGCCGGGCGGGACCTGCACGCGAACGCACTCTACGGGGCCCAGAGTCCGTAATGCAATTACCGGAATTTGCATAAATGTTTTGTAGGCGAAACCAGACGCAAGAGGGGCGGATTAGTTGGGCTAGTTGGGTGGCCCACGGGCAATGGGAGGTGGTCACTTAATGAGCTGTGCGTCGTTAGGTTTTGTTGAACCTGGCGGTTTCGGGAAACGCGCATAAATCACGAATAATATGCTCGCTTTCGCCCTGTATTTTAATGAATTTAAATTTTGGCAGGATCCCAAGGCCGCCCAGTTCCTGCAGTACTGCAAAAAGTGCGAGGGGTACAAGGCACCGCGATCCCATCATTGTCGCAAGTGTAAGTCCTCAAATCGAGCAAAAAGAATAAAATAATCCTAATTTGCATAGGAATCTATAATAATTTAATCAACGGAAGATTCTGCTTTGTAAATTCATATTTCTATATGTCTTCCCACTTAGGTGATCGCTGCGTCAAGAAGATGGACCACCACTGCCCGTGGATTAATCACTGCGTTGGCTGGGCCAACCACGCGTACTTCACTTACTTCCTGCTCTTCTCCATTCTGGGCAGCCTGCAGGGCACCGTGGTGCTGTGCTGCTCCTTCTGGCGGGGCATATACCGCTACTACTATCTCACCCACGGACTGACACACTTGGCCAGCGTACAGTTCACGCTGCTGAGCATCATCATGTGCATCCTGGGCATGGGCCTGGCCATCGGTGTCGTCATTGGCCTGAGCATGCTGCTGTTCATTCAGCTGAAGACGATTGTCAACAACCAGACGGGCATAGAAATCTGGATAGTGGAGAAGGCCATTTACCGCCGATATAGGAATGCCGACTGCGACGACGAGTTCCTCTACCCCTATGATTTGGGCTGGCGCTCAAATCTGCGACTAGTATTCAACGACGAGTGCCAAAAGCGGGGTGATGGCATCGAGTGGCCTGTGGCGGAGGGTTGTGATCAGTATACATTGACGGTGAGTATTGGAAATGGTTGGTAAAGAGCGATGATTAACGTGTACTCCCTCCAGCGCGAGCAACTAGCGCAAAAGGAGGAGAAACGTGCTCGAACCCGCACCTTCAGATGCATAAGGCCAGTGACTGGTCGCTGGCTGCCGATCTTCTCGCAGGGATGGCGAGTTTGCGTGGCCGCTCCCTGCTCCGATGAGCCACGCATCAGCCTGCGACCCAACGACTTGATTAAGGTCACTCGGTTCCGCAACCACTGGCTGTTCGGTGAGCGAGTGCTTTCTGAGCAAGAGCTAGCTGGCGACAAGAAGCGCCAACGCAAGGGTCCCATCCGCGGGTGGTTCCCACGACGCAGCGCCGTTGAGGTCATTGAGGCGGTCCAGGAAGGCAGCGGTGGCGATGGCAACAGCGAGACTCCAACACCTCTGGCCCAGAATGGCAACGCCCACAGCCACTTAAAGCAACAGCAGCGAAACGGACACGCCAAAAAGTACATGTAGCTCGGATAGGACAGAGATCAATCGATGGCCCTCTGTGTCACATTCGGCTTGTAAATAGAATTAGATTCCGCTTGGAGACTTGACTGTTTCACGCTTAGCCAGGCCGCCGTCTCGTTTACTCTGTTAACACTGTCGACCAATAAATAACGCGAAAGTTGATGTCAGTTGCTGATGTGAATCGAAATTAATCAAGTTGTGTATCAGCAGATAACGCTTATCTTTTCCAGATAGCCAATGCAGCATACATCTCATGGCGAAAAAGTATAAAATATATATACATAATTAAAGTATTGTTTTTAAGTTTCCCACAAAAACTTGACAGCAACCTCTAGATGTCATTTGATGAGACCTTTTTTATTTATTGGGTATTCCATATTTTGATTACGATACAGTATTTTACATACGTTTAAGTGTGGGATATATTGTCCAAGCTCTAAACCGGTGAATCATATTTACAGGTCATAGTTGCCTCGATATCCTCCACCGTACGCGGCACGATCGCAAAGTTCTCCACTCCAGTCTTCGTAATAAGCACATCGTCCTCGATGCGCACACCTCCGAAATTGCGGAAGCGATTGAACATCTCTACGTTGATGAATTTTGCAATGTTCGGATCAGCCAGAGCGCGGTCCATCAGCCAGTTGATAAAGTAGCAGCCGGGTTCGATTGTTACATACATGCCCGCCCTGAGGATGCGGGCAAAGCGTAGCTTGCTCAGCCACGGTTCAGAGGGGCGCTTCGGCTCCTTGGGCAGGTAGCCGCCCACATCGTGCACATCCAGGCCGATTAAGTGGCCGAGTCCATGTGGCTGGAAGACGCCAGAAACACCAGCTTCGAGCATCTCCTCCACATCGCCCTTGAGCATGCCGCCCTCCTTCAGGCGCTGCAGCAACACCCTGCCCGCCAGCTTGTGCATGTCCACCCAGGAGACTCCGTCTCTGGCCGACTCCGTGACCGCATTGCGGGCATCCAGCACGGCGTTGTAGATGAACTTCTGATCGTCGGTGAATTTCCCATTGGCCGGGAACGTGCAGGTAATGTCTGCCGCATAGCCACAATAGTTGGCACCCATGTCGAACAGGCAGAGATCGCCGTCCTGGACGGGCTTGCTGTTGGGAGCGCCCGCGTGTCCATAGTGCAAGATCGAGGAGTTCGTTCCGCTGCCGCAAATGCAGGTGTAGGAGGCGTGCCGGCAACCGCCCACGGAGTAGGCGTGGTGCAAAAACAGGGATTCTCCCTCGAATTCCATGCGACCGGGACGCATAAACCTCATCACCTTGATGTGGGCGTCCGAAGAAACCTTGGCCACGTATCGCAGCACCTCGATCTCTTCGGGGGACTTGATCACCCGGCACTCAGAGAGAATGGGATAGAGCAGATCGCAGTCAGTTACGTACTTCTCCTTGCCAGCAAAGTCGGGCGGCTGGAGGGTGAGCCCACTATCGCTGTTGGTGCCGCTCAACGTGAGTATCAGCTTGGGCGACGCCCCCTCCAGATAAACACTTATTTCGTCGACATAAAACAACTCGTCCACCTCATACATGGTTTTAAACTCCTGCAGACCGAGCAATTCGCCCATCCAGGTGCCGTATTCATCGGGAAAGCGGGGAACAAAGAGAACACTCTTCTGGGCACCAGTCTTCACATCGATGGTTAGGATACCGTAGCAGCCCGGCTCCTTGACAC